AGGAAACAGGAATGTTTTTCCAACTACAGATCACAACCCGAGATCCTTGCCCGGGAAGCAGAATGCTCTGACAAGAGGGTAACGTTCCTTCTTTGTGATTATGGCTCATCATAATTACTTGGAATAAAAATAATAAATTTTAATTCAGCAATGCCTATGGCCGTTGGGCATCTTAACATAAAAGAATGAAAATATAATTAACTAAATCAAAGCAATATGCCTATTTCCATCCCAGCTCATTAGTATTAATTGATTGGGTTAATTCTCTTTTGCTTTTAATGGTACCCCTAAAAACAAATTTTTTTAAAAAGGGAGGGAGGGCAGAAAGGAGGGAAGAAGTAGAGATAGTAAGGAGACAAAAGTTCTGGATCTTTTTCTAATTGAAGTGAAATAATAAATGCAGCTGAAGTTCTTATCACCGTCACAAAAGAACCTGCTATTTTTTTTTAAGTTCAGGAGTCAGTACATATAGCTTCATAAATAATAACATAAAACTTTGGGGCCACTTCTCAATTACCCTCAAAATGTTATGATCCTCTCTTCTACTATGTAAGTTATATGTGTAAGAAAAAAATGTCATTTCTATTTTATAGATGAAAATATAAGTAAGGCATAGAGAGTTCAAGACTCTTGAGGGTCCATAAAGTGCTGGTTTTCCTGTTGTGTGAGCCTAGTCCGCTACATATCAGGATGCTGGTTTCCATGAATGGAAAAATAATACAGAAGATGTAATACCTTCATAAAGTAGTTCCAAATGTAGCTCTTAGGTGATCTACTTTCACTGTTACTTAGCACTAATCCCTTCAAAACATACACACTTCATGTAGAATGTATTTTTGTAATATAGAAATGGCTGAGAAAGTACTTCCACTATAATACTTCATATTTTTTGGTCAAAATCTTTTGAAGAAATTATTTTTTGCCTTGAAATTTCTCAGGCTTTATCTAAGCCTACAAATGGTATTAGAAAAAGTAAAGAAAATTTCATTCAACTATTTTTATGACACTGTGAATGTATGTGAAAAAGATAAGCAGTAACAGATATTTGTAGAGTAAGTTGCTGTTGTTGTTGATGATTATGATTATTCATATATTTGAAGACCTCTTTATTATCATGCAAGAACTTTCACATCTATTATAGACCAAGGGAAGACATTAAAAGAGGTATACAGCTATGTTACATGGACCAGATATTTGACAGTTGTAGTTTTCACCAGTGAAGATTTTTGTCAAATGCCTTTTAGAAACAGAAATATAACTTACCAACAGATTTTATATTCCTAACAATTTATCATAATATGCATACTTATAGACAGGTGTGTGAATGTACACATTGTGTATGTACATATATGTGAATATATAAGTATATATGTGTGTATTTATACATACGTGTGTGTGTGTGTGTGTGTATGTGTGTGTGTGTGATCAGTGAGAAGAACTAAGGACAGTGAAAGTAAATTAGCTGAGAAAAGTGGTATTTAAGAGAGCAAGAGCTTAAAATATATGCTTCTTAAATTTTACCCAGGCCCGTTTACTTGTCTATTCTTTCTACAAGCTACAAGTAATTTTTGAGCCTTCGTCATGTGTCAGGCACTGTTCTAGACTCCGAAGAGACAACAGTAAATAGATTGATCAAATCTTTTGCCTTTTTTGAGCTTATTCGAATAGAGGAGACAGACTACAAATAGGCAAGTAAATTTATAATATACCATGTTATAATAAGTACTATGAAGAAAAGTAAAGCAATATCAAAGGATGAAGAGTCCTGGGAATAGCTGTAATTTCAGAAATGATGGACAGCAAATCTTTCCAGAATAGTAGATATTTTCTCAAAGAACAAATGAAATAGGTGAGCCAGCCATATGAATCTGGAAGAGCATTCCAGACCATAGACATTATGGGCAAAGGTCCAAAAGTCCTGAGGCAGGTATATTCACAGAAGAGCTAGAGCAGAGTGAATGAGGAAGACAAGGTCAACAAAGGGATCAGAGGTTAAATAATGGTAAGGACTTTTGATTTGATTCCCAGTGAGTTGAGATTCCACTGGAGATTTTTAGGAGAGAAGTAATAAAATCTGACTTAAATTTTTAAAGGAAATAGACTATAAACTGTTGGGGGTTTAATTTAGCATATAGCATAAAAGCCAACTATCAGTGACTTGAACACATGAAGCCTTGTTTTTCTATCACAAAAAGCAATTTCAGAAGTGGACAATTGAATGCCTTATCATGACAGCTCCAGAGTCATAAGAGTCCTGAGTTTCTCCTACTCTTCTGCTTTTCCACCCTAATTAACAAGTAGCATCATGGTCCAAAATGGTGGCTGAAAGTGTTGCTATCACATTTACACATCAGCGAACGGGAAAGCAGAAGAAGGAAGGGAAAATAGGTAATACTTCCTACCAGATCATCTCTACTTTTGGAAATTTCTCAGATGTTCTGCAGGGTACTTCTTCCATCTGATGGCAAGCCCTTAGCAATACAGATATGTCTAGCTACAAAGATGTTCAGGAAATAGAGCATTTCAGCTGAGTACGTTGTTGCCACCAACGAAATTAGGGTCTTGCTACTAACAAAAACAAGGAACTGGAAACATAGAAACCAGATAAGAGGCAATTTAAGATTGGCTAGGCCAAAAAAATCTGGTGGTTAAGACTAGGTTGGTACCAATGAAGTGTTGCTACATGGGACAAATGCTGACGATCCAGCTGATGGGGTGGGCATAGGAGGTGAAAGAAAGGAAGAAGTTTGGATGCCTCCATGGTTTTTGGTCTGAGCCACTAGACATACACAATTCCAATAAGTGAGGTGGAGAATTTCCTCAAACTTTGATTCTGTGTGTATATTAATATCTATGTGCTCACAATATGTCTCAGACATAAATGATCTGCCATTCAACTCCTCTCCACCTTCCAACTCTAATCTTATATTCTTGACACCAAGAATATTCTGCCTCACTGCCTGCATCACTTATTTTAGAACCAGGAGTTTTAGTCTTTTATATTTACTTTCTAATTATTTTTTCTTTGGTAATATTACACATTACTGCCATTTGGTATCATTCATTTTTTTCTTGTACCTTACACAGGGATTCTAGGCCACTCAATAAGCATTCACAAATTATCTGTTGAACAAAATTTGATCTGTGCACTTGCCTTGTTTTCATTCTTTCTAGAAGTTATGACTCATATCGCTATGATAAAAATATCAGAGTTTCACTCTAGGCAGCTCTGGTTTTTGCCAACGACTCCTGTGTCTTATTTGTGCAGAAACTGGAACCTACTACTTAGCCTTACTTCCTACCCACTCTTACTCCCCAAGAGAAAGAGGAGATCCTTCAGATGACTTTCTGTCCCTCTCCACAGGAAGCGAGCTTGCCCTTCCACACCTAACTCACTTATTCTAAATAATATGAGAGTGAAATATTGCCTAAACCAAAAATACCAATAAAAATCACTATTGGCAGGTGACAGGCTTGGGCAAGTATTGGGATTGTTCAGATACTTAAATCTTTAAGAGTGGGAAGTCAAATGAATGTTATACTTATCCTGCCTTTCTCCTACCCTTTTCTCTCCTTCTGATGCCTCTTCTCCGTTTTCAGCCTCTGGTCCTGTCAACACTATTCCTGAATGAACATTTACCCAGAAGTAGTAGTACATCCAGAGACTTAGTAATCCAAGACTTTCAGCTGGGAAACTTCTCCCAAATGGTAGTAGCAATATAAGACCAAGACCTTTGAATGCCTAAAGGGCAGCCCATCCTCCTGCAGAATATGATTCATTTGGGGAGAGCCCTGGCTAACGGCTTGCCAAGAGCATCTTTTCTCTGAAATGAGGCTTTAGATCTGTAATTTTCCTTTGTTATTGCTGGTCCTTAGGTAGTTGGTAACTGTCTCTAGTGGCATTGCCACAGCCAGTAGCTACACACACACACACACACACACACACACACACAGAGAGAGAGAGAGAGAGAGAGAGAGAGACAGGCCAAGAGCCCAAACTGACAGACCATTTTATCCCCTAAAGGGCACTAATTAACTAATTTGACTGAAAACTTCTCCTTGCTATACTAGAGAAAAAAAAAATAGCTTCCAGAATAGAGAATGACAAAACGCCTAAACCCTGATTGAGTCTAAAAGAGACAGGTATTAAAACTACATTAGTTTATCCCCTTTAAAATATTTTATTTTTCCCCTCATGTAGCTATGTTCTTTAATGAGAATAAATGTTTGTGTAAATGTTAAGTATATTTATAGCAAAGAACAGTGTTTTAGTGCAGAGATTCATAGATATCCATAACTAATCATATCTCCCAAGTAATTTTCATTTGCCAATGAACAGAGGCACTTTGATAACTATTCCTTATTATCAGCCACTAAAGTAGGCCATGATTTTTATTCTCATTTAACAGATAAGGAAAGAAATGCACAAAGAGGTGATATAACTGACTCCGCTATTTGAAGATGTGGTAGTGGAGCTGAGATTCGAAATCTCAGCCTCTTCCAACTTCCTGAACCCTAGAGCTATATAGCCGGTTTTGCAATAAGAAAGCCTATTTGTATGACTTTCCATGGGACCCAGAAGTCAAAACCACAACAGTGTAAAAGCAGGAAGACATTGCTTTCTTGGCAGGGTATTTCAAAGGCAGCAACGTTAACCAATTTCAGGGCATTTTGCTATGTTGTGGGGGCTGTCCTGGATAAGCGTGACTAAAAAGTGCTGGAATAAAGAAGTATATTCTTTGAGAACACTGTTAACCTTCTTGTTTTTGAAAAATTAAAATAATCAAGCTGTGTGCTTATTATGAGAGTCCAAAGAAAGGCCTTTCACTTTGAACCCTCTGACCACTTCCTCCTTTACGTCGTAAAATTTCAGTTTGGTCTGAGGATAAATTGTCAACTAAGTTCTGGAACTTATCCAGAAAGTTTCCCTCCTCCCTCCCCCCTACAAGTGATATGATTACATAGAATAATGTCACCAATCTTCTTCAAACTCCACAGACCTTTAACGTGCAGTAAGTTAAGGATGCTTGTGTTCGTGTCCAGCAGAAGCCATCGGCCGTTCTCCACTGTGACGTTGTCGCCATCTTGTGGCAGCCTTTCAGGAAACCAGCTGTGAGTCCTGGACCATCTCCGGCAGAACTGTAAAGGAAAGTTGCCCTGGAAAAGAGAGAGCGGGGTTGGTGGGTTGGCTGGTCTGTTGGTTCGTTGACTGGTTCGTTCATTGTTTTAGGTGGGTTAGTATAAGCACTAAATCAAAATAGAAATTTCTCGAAGGAAGTAAAATTCATTTAAATATTTTAAATGTCTCCATGAAATCGGTTACCTCTCTCTTCTTCATACAACTGACCTAAACATAAAAAAATACGAGAAAGGCAAAATTATACTTGAAGTTCTTCTGTGCCCAGCCCCTGGAATTCTCCAGTAACATGCTGGTAATGTTTTCCTACCTTTTTTTTCCCTCCAGCACAGGCCCCATTCTACCTAACAGATGAGGTTGATTCCATTTATTTTTACAGACATATATTGAATCTTGGACAAAAAGTCATAAATAGCCTGGAATACGGAGAATTAAAATGTTCTGCTTGATGGGTGGCATTTTGCTTTATGTAATTGGTATCATTTTTCACCAGCTCTACTGCCAAGAGTCTCTGTTTTATAGGAACATTCCTCTTCCCAAGTGCTCAGATCTATCCTCCCACTCGGCCTTTTTTGATATTATTGTCGCCTTTCCCCCTGTGCCTGGTGCATCAGTGCCGAACAAAGCCCAGGCAGGCATAGGCAGAATGCCGACTGACTTCGGATGACAAGTAAATAGCCTGGAACCTTTGAGTGAGGGGCAGGGAGTCGTACTGACAGAAGGAGCCAGAAAAGGAAGCACTCCCTCTCCACCCTAGCCTTCAGTCCGTCTCTCAGAACTTTTGGCTTTTCTATTTAATTTATGGTCACTCTGATGTCATATGTTTTTTAAAATAGAGACATAAAAATTACAGAAAGTAGTATTCAGCTCATGTAAGAGGCTGGGAACATGTCTAAATGCCTTGTGAAATTGAGGAAGTATAATTATGATAAATATAATAAAATCAAAATAGAGAAGGTGATTTCTTCCAGGTAATACATATGACATGTGTAAGCCTCTCTCTCCAGTCTTCTTCCCATTCAGATTTCAACCAAATGTGAAGCCCAAGTTCCTATAAAAATGAACTGCCTGGAAGGTCCTCTCGTGACGCGTTAGAGGCAGATGGGAGAAGATCATTAGAAGGGAAGGCATGTTTGTAATATCGACAACTACACCTACACAGAGAATAGTGCTCTACAGTATTTCTGAGAAAGAAAATGGAAAATTGTGTTTCCAGAAGAGCCATTACACTTTCCAGAAGAGGATACAAACCCCAAGGTCAACAGTCATGAGTTGCAAACCCAGCACAATCACTGAGAAGGCTTTGTGATTTTTTCATTTTATACATCTGCAAAGAAATAAAAGTCTATGACTCATCACAATTTAAGAGATGGAAAGAAATAAGGCATAGTGAAAACAAGTTCCAGTATCACAGAAAAAGAATAGGTTATACAGGAGCCTCATTGTGAACTGCAGGAACCACATTCCCCATGGTGACTATCTGTGGGCTGCAGAAGTAGAGGAGAATTTCACTATAGGACAAGCTTCAGGTTGGCAAAATAATAAACAGTACTTCTTATAAGGCTACATATATTATACATTCTTGTAACCCTTTAATTTACTCTCGTAGAATACAGAGAGAAGAAAAGGAAGCAAATCAAAGGAAACTGGAATGAAAGAAGGTGGGAAAAACCAGAGATGGTAAAGTACACTGCAGAACAGGGTGAATCAGGTTATCTATATTGTCAGCTCGGAGTCCATGATGAAAGGGCATTGGAAAAATCCTGAATTTCCAGAAGGCCAGAAATGGAAAAGCCTCTAGCAAAATCCTATCCCATCATCTTACAGATGCTATTTTAGGCAGTGTTCCTTAGAGCTTAATAAAATGCAGACTCCTCAAGTGCCATCATATACCTATGAAATCCACAGCTCAAGAAGTGGGACCCAGAGATCTACAATTTTAATGATCTTCTCAGATGACACTTCTGCATCAAAATTTAAGGATAAATTCAGGGCACAAGCTGGAGGGGAAGGAGATATATCTTTTAAAGGAACCAAAAATTTTTCTCCAAACCAACATCCAAAGCTTAAAGTCTTTGGCCAGGGTCACCCAAAGACTAGCAAGCTAGAAAAGATGATGTGTAGATGAACTATAAGAAATATGAAGAATTCAGCAGCATAACTCTGAGATATTAACCTGGTGGTCAGACCCATAACTCAGTCACAGAGCTACAAAGAAAACCAGGGCTCATGACACACACAGTAAAATGATCTGGAACAACTAGATATTAGTTAGATACTACTAAGTGGGTCAGAGGAAGACTATATAATGGCATTATCCATTAGTTAATTTGAGAACATTTAAAAATTTTTATGATTAGCACAGATATCTGTTATCTAGCTCTCAGGAAGCTTTAGAGACTTTCTTGCTCTGAAGCACCTGCTTATGCCATTTGCTGCCTTCCAGGTGCTATACTTGGCCTGGCCTGTCAACCTTCAAAAATTGCTATACTTGGTTCCAACCTAGTAGGTGGAAAGGTTGCTATATCCCCCAGGTCTTCTGAAACATTTACATTCCTTTTCGTGTTCTCAAGCTCTATTTAATCATATACCAAATGATGAAGAGTGCTACTGTGTTATCTCCACTTTCCAGTGGAGAAAACAAAGGCTCAAAGTGTTTAAATGACGTGTCAAAGTTCATAGCGATGGAGGCAAACTGGAGTCACAAAAAGGAGGCTCCCACCTGAAGTTTTTCCCTCACTGTGGCCTCTCCTGGGATGCTCCTTCCCAAAAGATCTGCACAACTCACTCCCTTACTTAATTGATGTCTCTGCTCAGGTATCACCTCCTTACCTGCATCATTATTTTTAAAAGACACCCCCAATCATTCCTTCTCCCTTAATAATGCTTCATTCTAGTATTAAATCATACAATTTCTTACATATTTGGTTATCACTTATTAAAGTTACTCAAATGAAGCAGGGACTTGGTTTTGGTCATTGTTATATCCCCACCCCCCTAAAAGGTGTCTAGCCCATAGTAGTTGCTTAATGAATGTTTTTGAATAATTTATTAAATTAATCTTATACCTGCTGGCGCCATACATACTTTCACAGACGTCACACACAAACATACACACACCTCTTCCTAATACAATAGGTGAACATACAGGTGCTAAGACTAAAAATGCCATATCCCCTAGGTCTTCTGAAACATTTACATTCCTTTTCGTGTTCTCAAGCTCTATTTAAATATATACCAAATGATGAAGAGTGCTACTTAACTGGAACCTGAGACTCAGTTCTGAACTCATAAAATCTTCCACCAGTGCTTTCTTTCACCTTAAGTTTCTCTAGTCAATGTGACCAATTTCAAATAAATACAGATGTTTAAGCACTCAGTTTCAAGAAACCTAAGCTTCTTTGTGCCCTGAATTCCCCTTACCATAACAAAGATATCTTGAAATGTATAAATGTTTATTGATGTACTCATGCTTTTACACAAAATAATGACTAAATACTAAAAAAATCTAAAAATTAATGCAGCCTCCGCTGCTTAACAGCTACCTGGGGAAGTGGAAGGGCAGTATATCTCTATGATTGCAAGTTGTCAGTGTAATCCATGATTACAGGCATGTTGCCATAAGAATTTTAGCTCTCCTACATTTTCACAGTTAACAGAGCTAGTGGTATCATTCCCTCCCAGGGAAATGTTCCATGAAACAGTGAGGATGGCTCCCCTTCCAACATCTTCATCCTTCAATCCGTGTCACTTTGATCCAATTGAGAAAAAAATTCCAACAGCATTGATTAAAGATTTTGTCAATATATTTGAGAATGTCTCTGTTGATACCAACATATTTTTGGTGAAGGCCATGTTCTGTGTCAACGACCCAGCTTACTTCCACCTAATATAAGCTCTTTCCTATATAGTTCCCAAGACGCTCAGTCTTTAGCTTTAGTGTTCTTCCTTGAGATAAACACATCACTCATTCTTATTCTGCAGATGAAGAAAATCATTTCCTAATAGGGATATGGAGGCAGGCATGAAATATAGACATAAGAATTTCCCAGAATATGACCTCATCTTTGCATATAGCCCCAAATAAACCCAAAAAAAGGCAAGAAAAAAACTTTCCTGCCTCAGCTAGGAAGCTTATGCAATTTGTTTTCTTCTTCAGCATGTCAGCACTTCACTGAACTTCAGGGAATGTGCAGTGTCTGCAAATCTTACATGTCACCTTAAATGTACTTACGACACCACCAGAGTTATCTTGAAAGAAGTCATTGATCAGCAAGTTGGAACACCCGGCAAAGCAAAGACCTATTAGTGAGCGTATGCATTGAGCTGGGGTGGCAGAGGAGGAGGGGTATGGGAATCTCTCTAATCACAGTATCTTCTGGATGACAAGGACAAGAAAGAACTGTTCTGACACCTCACCAGAATGTCTTCTTCCTCAGCATCCAAATCCTGGAAATAGGAAAAGACAAGTCCCTGTAACCACGTTCTCTACTCCGTATCCTTCTCTATTTTCTCCAAAGCATTCATCTCTACTTAATACAATGTATCCTGGTTTATAATCAGTCAACCCCTGATAGAATATAAGCTTCACAAGGATGTCTTGATTTTCTGCTGTATCCCTAGTACCTACAACAATGCCAGGCATCTATCTGCTACCCCAAAACTATGTTTGAATGAATAAATGGTCAATTCTTATTTGGACTTATAATCATAATGCCATAATTTAAAATCCTCTAATAACTGAAATAATGTGATATGAAGCTATAGTTTAATTTTATTCTTTTCTTCTTTACATTCACGTTTTAATTTTTACAAAACAAATTTTATTTACTGTTTGTGACATTTTTCACTACATTATAGATAGAACATCCTCTTTCTTTCTGACATAAATATCATTCATATACCCTTCTTAATTGGTGGGTGTTATATTTGCATGTTACTTCTCAACTAACTTACAATTTATGTTGGGAAAGTTTACACTTTTTTCTTGTTTTTATTCCTTGATTTTTCCTACCAAATA